TCTCTCTCTCTCTCTCTCTCTCTCTCTCTCTCTCTCTGGTAGTTTATTTTACGAATCATTTAGCTTATCTATATTTGCAACATATTTACAGTATAGCATAAAATCAATATTTCAAATGAAAATTCCTCCATATCTTTTTATCTTTCTTGTTAGCCTATTTTACGATCATATTATGTCTGCAATACACTTACAATCAATTGAAAATTTACTTTTCTTTTTCAATTTCAGCCAACTGTAGCATAAGACGATCCAACTGATTGCGTATGTTTGATATCAATTTTGCATCATCACTACCCATTTAGTCCTGCTATTTCATTTCAATATGATTAGACATATCAAAACGTAATCATAATAACGACAATAATAAGAAATAAGAAAAATTAAGTCTTGAAATTCTCAATCGATTAAATTCCTCATTTTGATACTTTGCAAGTATTATAAATAATAATAATACTACTTATTCCTGAATTTCATTAAGTAGTGGGGTAGTAAAAGACACCATCAGTAGTCATTCATCGAAGATAGTTTGATTCATTTGATTTATTTATTATCTTACTATATTATATTATTGTCTTGATTAAATGAATGAGAATTTATAAATCACTTAATGAATCAAATTATTATTCCATTCATCATGCTAAATAACTGATCATTCTCTTTTTGAATTCTGTACAAGGAACAAAGAAAAAAATTGGAATTGATCCACATCCTCATGAAATTGATTCATTTCCAATCCCCATATTAACTCTTTCCCTTCCCGGCAAACATATCCCATAACAAACTCCTTCCTCTCGATCACAATCCCGAAACTCACCGATGATCACTACGCGATCAGCATCATCTGTAAAAATATGTATTCAGCGGCTCGGTAACAATGAGCATCTTTAATTCACTATTTGACGTAACAGACGAAGTTAGCGCTATTTGATTTAGGCGATATTGATGGACGATACTCGGAGAGAGTAAAATTTGTTAAATTAACTGTGATTTTTAAATGTATGGAGGCTTCATGTCGATTTATTCGATATTTGTTTGGATAGATCTTTATGCTTAGCCTAGAAATTGCATGATAATCATAATAAGTATTTTATTTTCCAAATAATAAGTAAATAAGTATTTTTTATTTTTTTTTGTTATTGATGCTGCGAAGCGGATAATGTTGCATTCATTCCAAGCAGTACAATTTTTTCATGCTTTTCTTTCTGTGCTTTAACTGAAAATTTTAATGTGGATGATAGACGAAACACCTAGTCAACAATGCTACAATTCATTATAAATGAGAAAAGATTTAAAAGTTTTTTTTTTTTTCACCAGAAGACAATCCTTTTTTTTTTGTTTAGTACGAACAAAATCGAATCCGGTGCTCTTTTAGCAATTTCAGAATTGATCAAAAATTTTCCAATGAAATATAAAATAGTGACTAAAATTCTATCACCTCATTGTTTTGTTTTATTTCGAAAATTGCGAGCAATCGATTTTTCTAGTTTTTTTCCAATGTATATTTTACATTTTTTATGATATCTGATCAAACTGATTATGATTTCCAGGCGTATAGTATGAATAGGTCAGAGAAATATGCGTGCGACACGTCGCCTAGTACTTATACGAAAAGTTCTTACATTACGCCTGTGGATGCATTACATCTTAGTCAGCAGTGGAAGGTAAGATTGAAAATGTTTTATTTAATCAAAAAAACATATATAAAAAGTAAAAGTCGAAAGTTGATAGGGAGGTCAGGAGGTATGGAGGAGGAATCGGATGAAAGTATGAAGTAACAAACTAATGAAAAATTTACATAATCGATGTTAGCGCATGATTAGCGTGCGCCAAAGAAATCAGGCTTTGCGAAATTTAAAGCGAAAAATAATTAACACTAGCTCTGTTTTGGATCATTAGACGTAACGTTGAGCAAGTTTTTTTATTCGGTTAAAATCGAAAGAACATGGTGAGAGTCTGACAGTAAACATGAATCAAAGATGATTTAGAAGTAATTTATATTTTCTGCACATTGAAACTTGTCAGTAAGAAGGCAAAAAACGAGACTAAAGGTGATAATGTCTTTAATTATTTACTATGATGCTATTAGTTTCTAGCAAATTATGTATTGGTTTCAACAACTTCTAATAGAATGTTCTGCCGACTTCAAACACAGCAATAACGACTTCATGAGGCAATTTACTGATTAGTTTTTTTGTGATAAAGTTAAATAGAACAGCGATTTCCTTAGGTGTAGAAATATTAACGATATTTAATGTCCAGTTTGAGCTAGGGAAAAATAGCGAATTAACATTGAGGCATCAAAAACCCACAACATATTGTGTCGTCAAGAAAATAAGTTTTTACTGATAGAATTTTGGATGATGCCAAGTATTTGTGAATCCTTTTTGTTGTCGAAAGAGATCAAATTTCATTGAAAGTCGCTTTCTTATTACCATCGGCAAATAATGGGTGTAGCTGCTCCGATATCGTTGTTAGGAAGCATTTCCAGTAGTTGAAAAAACTTAGTTTCCTGCATCGAACTGTGAATGTATATGCATGTGTATAAAGTAAGGTTGTTTTATGAACTAAGCTAATGAGAAAGTATATATGAAGAGTTCGGTAAATTCGAAATGCTAAATAATATGGTATTAAAACTGAATCAAGTGATTTAAATGGTTGTAGATGCTTCTTGTAACTATTAACATATGGAGAAAAACATTTTACTTAAGCATGTGCTTTTGAGTGAAAAAGTTGTTCCTTTAAGAAGATCGGAAAGATATCATCTTTTTTTTCAATAGCAATGATGTAATAAATTGTCTGGGAAAGCCTTTAACTGTTCTGAGTTCTACAACATAGATTGTTATAGATTGAGAACTTCACAACTCTCGTGAAACTTGCTCTACCAGGGAATTGCTTACGAACAGGTTTATTCCGTCACCCGCAACTTCCAGAAGCCTTCTGGCAACTGTGTCTATATCCAGGAGGAAAACGAGCTGAGAATGCAAATAACGTTTCATTATTCTTGAAAATGTCTTCCACATCACCAACCAAAGAGGTACGTATTGTTCTCAGTTGCTTAAACAATATTTGTAAATCACATGCAGAAATTATATCCTTTTATCATTTTAAGTAGGCCCACTTTGATCATTATTTTTTCATTTTCATTGTACTTCGATTCTATTCAATTTCATAAGCAAAAAGTATTTGGCTTTGAATATTGTAGCTTTTGTTTAGGTACGTATTAAGGTGGAATATCGCTTTCATTTTTTAAACGACAAAGGGGTGGCGCTATTCAGCAATGTTAATGTTGGTGAATTCCATGCCAAACCTCCGAAAGGTGGACATTCCTGGGGTCTACGCAATATCCCCAAACAGAAGGTTATGAACTGTTATTTGTAATTAATCACTAAATAATTGCGTGTAAGTTATTTTCGTATTCGTGTAAGTTATATAAGTTGATTTATATAAGTAAGTACCATTTGCTTCATGAATACAGTTTATAAAGTTTGCAAAGAGAGGAAAGCTATAAATTCGAAGGAGGTTTCATTTTGCGTTAGTGCGCTATTTTGGAACATCTTTTGAAAAAATAGAAAAATTTGTCTTTTAAATGTTGAGAGAAATCACTTCATTCTGAAGAGAAATTACCAATAAAAGAACTGAATCTCTTAAATAGTATTATGTATTTGGTGGACTGAATGTCGTTTTTTTCTTTATAATCATGCAAGGGAACAATAATGAATTTTTTTTTCAAAAGATGTTCCAAAACAGTGCACTAACGCAAAATGGAACCTTTTGTCATTACGCAACGGAATAATAATGGTAGGTAATTTTTGCATGGCGGAAAAATAATTTTTGAGATGTTTAGATTCTGAACTGTGTGCGAGATGATGGTTCACTTGTTATATCATGTCATATTGAATTGCTGCCGGACATCAACCGTACTCAGTGTTACAATTCTTGGAAATTACTTAACACAAATGCCCGAACGGTAGATATTTAATGATAGTTAACACGAATGCCCGAAGATAGAAAGTACGGAGAAGAAAATTGCATTTCTGAATCACTGTTTTCTTCTTGCTAGTTACACCTGAGAATCTTCTTGCTAGTTTCACCTGATTTAGGTAAGTGGTGATTTTGTGAAGCGGCAGTTAGCAGCATTCGACAACGGTTTTATGGCAGATTGCGTTTTGGAATGTTCCGGAAGACAGATTCCTGTTAACAAATTTGTTTTATCAGCTCATTCAGAGGTAAGCCTCTCTCGCTAAAAATGGATTAAATTATTTATTAAACAACAAGATGCTATTAAGTATATTGGTGGAATGAAAGGGGAACCATATTTTCTAGAAAGGCATATTATGTGTTGCAGGTATTTAAAGCGATGTTTTCATATGATCAATTAATAGAAAGTACGGAGAAGAAAGTTGTTATTGAGGATGCTGAATATGAAGCTGTTAGGTATTCAATTATATTTTATTTTTGTTCTTACAAAGTTGTTAGTAGGATCATTTCTATTAATTAGTAATTTCTACAAAATAATTTTTCTACAAAATTCGACCATCTTACGGGATTTTTCAGGTGCATGCTGCGATATATGTACACAGGAGAAATGGAACTGGATACCGAAGTGGCAAATGTACTGACATTAGCAGAACGATATCAAATTGATGATCTTAAACTGATTTGCGAACGGAAACTTTGCAATCAGATTGACAAAAATAATGTCGGGGAAATGCTTTATTTGGCTGACCTTTACAATTGTAAAATACTTCGAAAAGCTGTAGTTGATTTGGTAAGTTTGTGGATGACTTTCGAACCATGTCTCCCATTTTCCTTATATATATATTTGAGGAATTTCCTACTTGACCAACAGCTTTATTTAAATGCTTTTTCTATCTTGATCTTTGTTCTTGCATTCTTTTATTTTAGGATATGTAATCCACATTCGTTTTTTATGCTCTTACTTATTGCTTCTTTGCTTTTTTAATTACCTGGAACTTTAGTCAGCTTCCAACTCCCTTCATTTTTTCTATTCCCGATTTTAATAAATATACTTTTGTGCTAGCTTATTCGCATTACTACCAGCCATTCAAATTGAGTAGTTTACAGCTACGCACCAACCACTCTGTGTTTTCGTCACACGCTTGGCGATTATTGAAAGAAACGAATCCACACCTTGTCACGGAGGCAATGGAGAAAGCGATGTTTGGTGAAGAATCGCCGCCACTCAAACGACAGCGTCATCAGAAAGTGCTCATTTCTCAACCTTCGGATGATGAATCTGTTTAGAAAGACCCTCGCGTTATCTTAAACGCCCTGTGGAATTCTTAAGCCAGCTTTTTGTGCTGTCCGTGACAGACAGTCACATTTGTTCTTACATACCATATTGCTAATTTGTTAATTTCGAGTAGGCGCTTCTAACTCATAGGTACAGTGTAACATCTGATGTTTCGCACTATTATTTCATTTCATGAACAACCTGATTTATGGAGGTTTTTAAGTTGTCTCGTTATTCCTTGTCGGGGCTATCATGCAATAATGAGACGAGCTAGCTGCATGGAATACTATTTAAAGTACAACTCAATTCAATTTGTGTTTTTACGGTACTTTGTTATATCTTTCATTTTTCCTTTCGTCAGAAGGATGTTTAGAAACTAAGAACTCGTCGATTTCTGGTCAGCATATTTTTTTCGGGATGAATTTTGTTCGTTATACGTTGTATGGGTACTCCAATTTTATTTCACTAATATTTACTGAACAAAATAAATATGAGTGAGAATTAGTAAACGCAAATATTTATAAAGTTATAAATTTCCATACAAAGAAATATGAAGAAGCTTAATGGGATGTAGACCTCATCGGGTCAGAATTACAAAACTTGCCATTTTCATACAAAAGGAATAATAATAAACGATCGCAAGTTGTTTATTGCCTTTGCCTATCGCCAGCTTCTAGATGAACCACCCGAACCGTAACCACCGCTTCCCGTGTACCCGCCTCCTCCATACATGTCTCCAGAACGACTACCATATCCACCAGAAGATGGAAAATCATCAAACAAACTTCGTGTTCGCCCGGCATATGGGTCATCATTGTAATAACCTTTACGACTTACCGGCTCATCGTCCCATCGACCATAAGATGATCGATATGGATGCGAACGATAGTCTCTCATTCCAGAGTAACGAATGGATTCCGATTCCTGTTTCTTTGGACGAGGTATACTAACATAAATACTCTTACCGGCACAAACAAAATCACGAATTTGACAAAGACGTTTAACCACTTTAGGATCATTTAGCGACACGTATGCGAAACCACGACATGGTTTAGGTAGGAACACTCGCTCAACCTGTAATGTAACACAGAATTTGAGAAGAGGATATGTGTATTACAACACCATTCGGCTTTAAAAAGACCTAATTGGGTAATATCGAGAAAGAGGAAAGAAGAGACTTTAAATTTGTGAATACTATAATTAAAAACCTTGGCAAGTGGTGATATTTTCTTTGCTTCTTCATCAAATAATTTGTGAAGGTCTCCTTCTGTAATTTCAGCATACACCCGACCGACATAGATTTTCGTTGTAATTCGATCATCCTGGTCTCCGCCATCTTGTCCATGATCCGGATATTTTACCTAGAAGACTTTTTAAGTTTATATAAAACTATAGCATAAAAAATCAACCGACAGCATAAACACCACCAACCTGAGCCATGCGACCGTCAATGTAGAAATCGCCTTCTTTTAACACTTTTTCTTGATCCTCCAATGTTTTCATCTTGATAAAACCATAGCCCCTAGGAAGACCTGTTCTGTAATCCTTCTTCACCTGAAAAAAACCTCTATTATTAATATTATAGCAACATATCTTCGCAACACGACTTTTGTTCAGAAAAACCAATTTTCACCAAATTTTTAGATCAAAGAAGTAACATAATGAACCAGAGCACCATACCACAGGCATTAACGCCAAAGGCCCACCTGCACTGACAGACTATGGTATTATCCACCGATTTCCTCTTCCTCCTTCCCACTTATAGCTAGCTGATGGTGGCTAAGTTGTTAATGCAATAACTATTTCAGAAAGATATACAACATAACCAAAAAGAAAGAAAACGTCAAAATCAAATTACGAAAAAAAGTATCATTTGTGCTGATATGTAAATTCAAGAATAGAACCTCAGCGTATTGCACTTCACCGTACTGCTCGAAAAACTTTTTGAGCTGTTCCTCAGTAGTTTTGAATGATAGATTGCGGACGAATAGATCAACGGGCATGTTTAATCGATCAGTCTGTCCGCACTGCCCTTCCAGTCTGTCACTCGACGATAACGCTAAAACATCCAGCTGAACGTGTCAACAGCATAAATAAAGCGTCAATATGTGAGAACAGAAACCGAACTGCCATTACTATCACTTCATCAAGGTGTGTACTTCTGAATCCCAGAAAGAGAGAGGACAAACATCTACAAAACTTACAATCATCGATGATCGCTACATAGCGATGACCATGCCAACCTCCTTTCGGCGCCAGCACACATTTTTTCCCTTCATCCACTCTGCAAAAGATAAAGTAAACAATAAGGACTCCAAGCCAGTATGCTAGACCTTACAATTTCTGCATGACATTGGGAGAATATATCATAAAAATAGAGAATTACTTACGGGAGGCTACGAAATAAGCCTGTTGCGGGATTCTTATACTTCAATCCGACCGCCTTTGGAAAAGAATGCGACAAGGTGAAACATGGCAAAGTACCATCGGATGCAAGAGGTAGCTCGAGCGGTGTACAATCTTCATCTTCCGTAGCAAAAACACATACATGATCCACTTCCTCACCATCTGCTGGAGCTTAATAATAGGAATAATGGTATATTTCCTCGCCTCGAACCTTAGCATCTTCAACTCAACAAACTCTTTACGCTCGATTTAGAGATGTTTGTCCACTTTGTCTTGAGCTAGTGAAGCGGATATACAGCCAGTATATAACCAGAAGATTGAGCATCGACATGCACACCTACCTGATATATTTTGATTATTTCCCTGTTCACCACCATTGTTCTCCTTTGTTTCCACACATTCCTCTTCTCCTCCTTCTTCTCTATGTGGTGATGCATCAACGTCACTCATCTTTCAATCTACAATTAACATAAAAAACACTCGACTCATTTCAACATACTCTTGACATCCATACATTATAATGAACTTAATCATCAGGACTATGATATCATTCAATTATTTTATATACAATTTCATATTCCCTTATTTCTATATCCTTAACATTCCCCACTTTCATTTGAATGATGAATTTGACTTTAAATAATCAATTTATCATTCAAATAGAATAAGCAAGAGTAATTTGGAATAAATATCAAACTGTACAAATAAATCATAGTACTTTCAAAAAATAAACATCACCATCGTTCAGAGTACCACAAAGCCATGGTACCACACCACTGACACTCTCAACCCGCGAACAACCAAACACATACAGCAACAATTATGAACATGGGAAGAAAACCATCTCGCCTTTCTTGCATCTTCATATTTTGCGGCCCTTAACGCATTATGAAATGTTAAAGAAGCATGTTAGTTCAACAAGCATCAGATGGGCGGAATTGTCCACAATATTGGTTTGGGACATCAGGTGGCGCGGAATTGTCCTCACTGTTGGTTTGTTTGATTGGTATTTCCTGTTAAGTTATTCATACAGAATATGTTGTTGATACCTCAACATCTCCTAACAAGGAAAAAGTAGTGTATGAAATATGATTATAAAAAATAGTGATAGTATTGGTACTGAAATAAGAATTGAAAGTTAGACACTGAAAGCGAAGTGTAGAAGCATTTCGACACTACTTTGAGCAAATGTTTCAGAAACGAGTGTTGCGATGAAAAGCAACGTTTTCAATTTCATATTTATTTTAATTATAATCATATTTCATATTCAGAGGGACGAATATCTATCTGACAATATTCGTTTTATTCTAACTGCCATTACAGCAAAGGAAAACAAAACAATTCATACAAAAGAAAAATAAATTCATGACAAATTCCAAATTGTTAGTTTATTGATGATTAGTAACTCCATTGTTGAAAAGTTAATTTTCGAGTTTATGTGATCTAACAAACTTTTAAATTCAACTCATGCATTTAAATGACTTATCTATGATTTGAATCTACGACAGCTTGCTGCTCACATAAGCTTGTGATACAATTTTTTTCCAGCTATTAATTAGGGCTATAAAATTCAACTGCACAAAAATTTAATATTTTAAATCACAGTCAAAAGAAATTTATGGTATTGAAACGGAAGGAAAGGTGAGAAAATTCATGAAATTGTTTTCCATTTATGCGTAATACATTGAACATTGTGGAAGTCCTTATCACCCATTATAATCACTTCAATCATTGCTTATAACCTTTCTGTTCTCTTCATTCACTTCGCAATTACAAAGCTATGCGAAGAATTCAATACGCTATAGCATTTTTGACAATCATCGATGTGCTGCTTCTATTATATAACAATTTTAAATAATACGACAGATAAAAGAATTCTTTCTAAAATTTCAAGTCCTGATTGAGCAAATGTCAAAATAACAAGAAACATTTAAATATACTTTCACATGAAACATGCTTTGACGATTTTCATAATTTATGTTAAATTAAATAGTTATTGCAAAATAGAGGACTTATGATGTACAATAATACCAATTTAAGAAAATAAATAGAATGTAATAAATTATAGTAACCAGCTTGTTATTATTTGTGGTAATGCTATCGACGTTTTTTCTTTTAGTAAAAATGACCGTACGGTTACTTATTAAAGGACAAACAGACAGATCAAGGTCAAGTAATGCGAAAAACAACGCAACGAAAAATTATAGATATTTGGGCTATGGACATTAGCCCATATGGTCATTTTTAGTTATGGATATTAACTTCTTCATATGTTTAAAACTATAGCCACATTGAATTTATTTTCTTTTGTTTGACCTGACCATTCACTTTTTAAAAAAAAAAAATATTAAATCAAATTTCAAAAGATATCTATAATTTGCAATGAATCTGATAATCGATAACCGTGGTAATTGTCTTTGTCCATCGTTTTTAACTACTGGGAATCATCAATCACTTAAATTTCAATTTACGAATTCTTATAGCTCTAACTTACCACAGTCATACAAGTAATACGTTTACTTCGATAATTGCGCCATTTTTTTTTGCTTGCACCAGACAACGACATTCAGCTAGCAATACGTTGGAAAGAAGCTCTGATCACAGTTAATTAAAACAACTAATACTTTCCGTGATTTGTACACTGTTACTGTATGAAAAAGTTTTTTACTGTCACTGCGCATTTATTACTTGTTATTATTACTTACTACTGCGTGTTAATGCTTTATCTCCTTCTCTCTCTCTTTCTCTTCTTTATCAAGTCTTATTTAAATGTTTCACATTTAAATAAGACATAATAAATGTGAACCTCATTATGATTATATTGTTCTAAAGAATCGAAAAATGGATCATTAACAAATGATCCATTTTTCGATTCTTTAGAACAATGTAATTTCTACTGGAAATGTAATTTATATATGCATAAAAGAATTTACAATTACTTCATTGATTTCTTGTGAAAAAAATAGCAAAAGAATTGAAATGAATAACAAAACAGAACGACATTAAATTTTTAATTAAATTATGAAAAAAATTCGAATTTCTGAAACTTGAGAACTACAATATTAGGTCATTCCATGGACAATAACAATATCAATTCAATATCATTTCAAGCATTTTTAAAATTACTTTTCGAAATTAGTGTTAGAAGTATAGATAATAAGTTTCAAATGAAAGTTTGAAATAATGTCCGATTTTGATCGTTTTTCAAGAACAGTTTAAACATTTCTATTTCATTTAAAATATAATTTTCCAGTATGGCATAGAATCATTAATTTTTAAATCGGTGGTACGAAATATCTATACGACATACCGGGCGCTATAGAAGAAGAGAATTTCTCGAATAAAGTTTGTAGATTATGCGAAATCTGCAGATCAACGTATACCTTCTCATTTATCTTTCTTGATCAGTTATACTTAGCATACTTAGTTATTATTTTTTTAATTATATCAATTTGCATGGTTTTGGTACCATGAAGCTGCATTAAAAAACTGGATGATTTTTTGTGAAAATTCTTTTGGAACAATAACTGCTTTACATCAAAACCTCGGCAGATGACTTCAAAAAATATTTGCTTTAATTTTATGTTAAACTTAAGCTGTATACTTCTTTCTAATAGGACAATATTAAAGTCTAGAATGTTTCGTCTTTAATCAGTGACAAACAACATGTTAATTAAATTAAATTTAAATTGGTCTCATCCAATTTACGCTAAGCTAAACCAAATTTAATTGAACATTTAAATTTCGGAAATTGAGACATGTGTTTCATTCTGCTCTCGAGAGTGGTTGTGACCGGTTGCTTGCTAGATCAGTGATGATCATTGATGGATATTCGGTGCTCTTCCTTTTTACTATTGGTGTATTGGTATGTTCTTACTTTTTTACAATGTTTTATCGAATCCGGTAGAGTATATTACCGAATCCGATAGAGTAATAATACACAGTATTGTCGTTTGACTTTATATTTGATACCTTTTATAAGTTTATTGTTGTTGGTCTAACTCCATGATTATTTGTTTATTAAATCGTTAAGTAGGCTATTTAAATAAATGCTTCCTAAATCATTCATATATCTGAAAACCAAATAATTTAATTGCTGAACGGAGTTTTGAAGAATGAAAATGTTTTTGTAATTGTCAAAATTATAGATCACAATCATTTTGGCAATATTTGTGCAGCGGCAGATATTCCGAATGCGTGATAACAGCATACGGCGGGAAGCTAATATTATCGTCGGAGCAGGTTTGTCAAAGGTACTCATCCATTCATATATGATCTTTCCCGGTGGTAAGAGAAAACAGCTGGAGATGTAAAGAGAATGTTTTACTCCTGGTATTGGTGGTTGAATAGGTTTTGATACTCAAACCCTCCTTTTATTACTTGGTTACTGGATTATAGATATTTAGAGAGTAGCACGCAAGTGATCAAGTGATGATTCATTCATCCTTCATCCATTTATTTTAAACGCATTTCACTATATTTGATTTGTATCTAGCGCAAAAAGGAGGAGCTTGATCGAGGCCTTGAAATTGTTCGACAGTTTCAACTTCTACGTGCCCCAAAGTTTACCGAAATTGGAACCATTGCAGAACGTAAGTTTTTTGTTGATGCGTTGATTCTAGCCACTGATATTCGATTCTCTAATAGCATGAGAGGTGTCTTATATGTCTCATATCCTTTTTTTTTTCAAATATATGCTTTATTCTTCTACTTAATTTACCTGTTCAATAATGGACACAGTACATTTCCTATTTAATTTTATCGCTTTGCCACTACGAGACACCTATTTAGTAATGGCAAAGGGTAAAATGTTTTACTTCTTCAAATGAATTAGGCTGATTTTAGATGCTAATGCACCATATATCAATCGAATGATTGCCATGGACGAGTTGCGAGAAATTGGTAATTTTTTGATATCATTAAAGCTACTAATCTCTACATTTAGTGAGTTCTGCGTTAGTCTTTCTGGTCAACTTTATTATTGTCAGCATACCTTATCACTTTTATTTTACACAGCATTGTCAGTAACAGAAAGTACACAGACACATTACATCTGTATTTGCTGGAGCTTCAAGTTGAGAAAAACAGCACGAAATAAATATCCACTCGCATGGAAAAAACTTTATGATTAGTTGTATGCTATTAGTTTATCGTGTACTGAGACAAAATCGAACCAGTTTTGGTTGGAATTAATGTTTTTGACGTATTAATAAAATCGCTACTAATGTCGCGCTAACTGTTTCCATCTAAAGGATGATGCAATTTTGGTCAGATATCTTCAATTATCAGGATTCCAGAACGGCAGTTAGAGTTCATAAATGGCGACCTTGGTCGTATAGCAGGCGAATCAATGTATGCTTATTTATCTCGAATCCGTCAAGTGGCACTACCTTCGCTATCAGAACATCTATGTGAACGAATCGGCTTGCTGGCGGAACATTGCAGATATCGACACCAGGTCAAGATATATTTTTGTCCTATTTCTATGTAGTACTTTCCGAATTTCACTAGTACAAGATTATATTAGTGCTATCATTCAGAGAACATAAATATTTTCAAAAATATTTTGTGGCTTACGATTTAAGTGAAAATATTTTAGCCTTTCGGTGAATCAGAGTTAACGGAAACTCGTGCACTGATCAAAGAAATTGTGAAAATGTAAGTTGCAGTATCCTTTACAATGCTTACCGAGTCGTTTAATTGAAAAAATCCCATTTTACGGATATTTCAGATTAAATAATGAACAGGAACGCCTCTCTGCACTGCATATGAAAGAATCAACCAGTTCAGCGTTACAAGAAATTACTAAGAGGTATAATGTAGACTTGTTAGTCCTTCATTGTTATTTATTGTAGTAACTCTTTCTATTAATCCCGATGCGCTCTATTCAGGTTAACGGCAGGAGAAAGTAAAAAAGGAACCCACAAAAGGAACACAGCCGTTAATGCGATTCGAAATGCTTTATTGCCGTTGCCATCTGATAAGGTTCCTCAATGAATATTCAGCTGTTTAATTTAATTGAATTCGAATTTATCCGTGTTTCTCACTTTCCATTTTACTGGGATGTCATAAAACAATCAGTTTTCAGAATGAGACGAGATTAGCAAGAACAAATGATCAGAGGAAACCACTGATAGCTGATGATAAGGAGGCGATTAGTGACACACCCGCACTTCATATTTTGGGTTCCCGTGTAACTACTGCTGATACTCAAAATACACAACCCTTGGAGTGCACTCCACTAATCGCATAAATTTCCACTTTTCATAATGGCGCACGATGAAAGGAGGGAGGAGTGGGAAGGATAGTGAAAAACGACAAGGACTGCGAAACATGAGAAGGCTTGAAGATGCAATGTTTAAGTGGGGGCGAGAAATTGCAATTAAATAGAGATATACTGAAACAGTTTTTGTCTTATTCACTAGTAGGTTCTTTCTTCGCATACCGTTGTAAATATAGGGTTTTCTTCAAGTTACAGAAGATGTTACTTCGTCTAGTTATTTTTGGAACCAAAAGTACTCAAAATATTTATTGTATATTTTATAAGTGGTGTTTGTTTTGCGGGTCTTCTCATCTTCCTCTTTTTTTAACATTTTAATAAAAAAGCATAGGAATAGTTCCATAAGTACTACAAAATCAGCGTGTGAAAGCGTAACAATTAAAGCGTTAAGCGACCAGATCGCTTTAATGATCCTGATAAAGGGGACAATTTTTATTTTTTTTTGTTTTGTTCTTTTTCAAGTCTCGGATTTCATGACTGGTTATTAATTGACTTTGAAATGCTTATGGGAAATATTTGGAAAGATCTGTTATTGTAGGCAAAACAATCAATACTTTCTAGCAAACTGCGTATCGCACTTAAGGAAAGAATGATGTCAATTTACTGATCGGGATAGCAGTTGGCTGTGATCAGATTGTCTGCCTTCTTTACCTTCACCATGATATTACACTGCAAATGGGTAAGTTAGCCAGAAATTTTCTTATCGATTTCGTGATCCAGAAAATAAGAACTCTTCCCAAATAATTTGTCAACTACGAATAGGTATAGTAACGTATTCAGCACAAAATAAAAGGAGATCTGACCTCCTTAGCTAATTTGTTGCAATATGATAAGTGGAACTTACTCGTGTTCATGCCATTTTTTTTTCCACATATTGCATCGCGTTTTTCTCCCTTCCATATCACGGTCCCCAAGCGCTTTATAAGAGGGAATATGTCTCGTAGGTTTTCGATGTTTATGTTGATTAGATAAGCCCGTTCGCGGAACTGATATTATTACAGAACCATCCGTTACCCAAAATTTGTCTTTTTGCAACGGCTCTGCAATTTTTTGTATAAAAAACACGATGAATGGCACTTCGACATTGTTTTCTATAATATAATTAATAGAGAAATGGACCATAATCGTTCATCTGAAGTCGATCAACGATGGCAAAAGATATGCCAACATTACGCTCAAAGATATAATCGAGCTCGAAATCGTCATCATCCATGCCAAAAGGACGCATCAGATCTTGTCCCACCTGAACTGCAGATTATTGCAAGTAGCTAAATTGAATACTTTATCGATGCCAAGAAATATCGGATTATTTTACAAAATCTAGCACAGTCAATAGCAAGAAAAAATTCCAAATCTGGAATTAAATTTTTTCATGCTGTTGCAGAAATGCATAAATTACTTATTAAAAACGATGCGTCTGTTACGCTGAAAAAAAAAAGTATTTTATGTAAAGGAAAAATATTTTCAGAAATATGACATATCACCTACTTTGAACCAGCCAACGAAGAAAAGAAACTGAACGATTGTGAATATTGGGATTATGAGATCCACCTCATGATTCCTGTATTTCTTCGACGGATCCAGATATTGTCTGCCTATGAGGCAAAAGCCAAAATATGTGTAAGTAGCTAGAGCTGCTACCTTCAAATATTAACATTTGCTAGTCTTTTTTCAGATATGAAATAGCAACGAATCTATCATTCTTTCAAAAAATTTCTAGCTCTATATCTGTTCACTTGATATAAATATTTCTATTATTTCAACTAAAAAAAAATACCTGAGTATAAACCAGTGGCACACACACCCAATCATAGCAGAATAGTTTGCGGAAGGCTGTCCGATAGGCCCTTAACTCCTGCATGAATTGATTCACAATGGCTTGGGGAGGTGCGTTATCATTTAATTCATCCATGACAATTTGTTGCACCCAATGAAGTGGTATCATCCACCGTACATTTTTAATGTCTCGCTACAATTATCAATATTTACGCAAATCGCCATGTAATTTATAAGGTGCTATAAGTTACATGGCGATTTGCCTAAATATTGATAATTTTGAACATACGAATTCCTACCGGAATATCTCAAAGGATTATATCGTCGTGCAGGAAAGATGACAAGTAGGATAATAGTACCAACCGAGGTTTCGTTAAGCAATTTCAGTTCCGTATCAGTGAGAAGTCCACTTTCCACTAAATCTGATAAGGACGGAAAACGACGTCGAATCGTGCTAGATATTTCGCGACTAAAACATTAGTGTATACTTGATTGATGGAATTCTGACATATATAACCAAGAAATAATCACATTAATATACTAACTAGACTAGGGCTGCCGTCAGGTTGGTATATCGAGCAATAGTATGCCTCCGTTGTTGGCTCTTGATATCCTTACCGGGCATTAACGTACATAACAGTAATAATAGATCTTCTGGCCAAGGTATGCATTCAAACTGTCGCCACCACCTGCAAATGTACATGTAGATTCTTAATTAAGAAAGGGCGGTTTTAGCTAGCATAAAAAATATCAGTTCTCCAATGAATTTGTAAAGGAAAGTACAAAGCAAACTTATAAGAACATAAAATATATAAACATCGGTCGACTTCGAGATTATTTTATCTCGGTAGTAAGTATTCCCAAGTGGTTAGAATGAGGAGAACATTCAATCATAAAATAATGTACCTGATAACTACATTAGATACATAGAAGCCTAATAGGAATGTAAGAGGAATCAGCTTCGTATACTGATCAAATTCCATTGCAATTCGTTCAAATTCAAATCTGAATTGATAAAAATTAGCAGAATTGTCAATCAATAGGTACAAGTAATTTAGTATAATCCAGACTAAGCATAATGAATTAGTCACCTGTATTTCTCTGGATTCTCCTCATCTAACAATGGTAGTAACTGATTGTAGAAAAGTCGAATAATATAGTAAAGAATGAGGAAGATAAACAACTCCTTCCAAACTAATCTCCATAAACTTCCTTTCCATCGAATTAAAAGATGACAAATGTTACCCGCATATGAAATTGTCATTTTAATTTCACGAATAATATGGAGAGTATTGTTCCAGTGTTCGATGAGAGTATGTTTAATGTAATGATCGATTTGTACGTAAATTAACAAGGCAAAGAAGGAAAGAGGAATGAGATGTTGTTATGCCGTGTCACTAATGAATCACACAGTTCTTGTCATCCCTTACCAACAACAAGCTATCGATCAATAATAAAATGTAACAAAAATTTAGCACCATTAAATACAATACTAGAGAAATGAATGCCATGAGATATGTATTTTTGTAATAATTTATAAATATAAACTGATGTTGTTTAGTGCAAGATATAATAGTTTTCAATCAGTTATTAAATTAATGTATGATTCAGCTAATCTTCTATAATATAGCATTATCATCGGTGAATATCACTTGTTTTAAATCATTTTAAAAGCAATTCATATTTTGAATTAATTTGGCCTCAATTGAATGTTGATCAAAATTGGCAAGCGGGAGATATTTGCTGATCCATTATGATCCATTAAAGCTTGTTCGAATAACACTGTGATAACATTCACTTCTTATCTGATCATTATATTTTATGATATTTTGCTACTTTTTTATTCTTATCAAATTGTTAGTGGAAGTTTGAATGGAAGAATGGAAAAAGTATATACTGAGAAAAAGTAAACGGATGTCATTCCTTTTTTTCTCCCTGTAAATCACCGTTAAGTGTAGTCATTGAATAAAAATGAAGATTGTAAACAAAATATAAATTTTTCAAATTTTATAAAAAAACTCTTTTTAATCTGCAATAAATTGGCTATTAAAGTAATCCGCAGCAGTAAATATTTAATAAATAGGTAAGGGGAGCGGAAGTGATGTTTTTTTTGGTATCCATTGTTACAATAGTTAATTTCAATTTTTATTTATAATAAGCGTTCTATATAGGCGTAGGTTAATCATGCAATAAGAGGGAAAAGTGTTTGAATTTCGCATTTGCAACACGTGAAATGTATTAATTGGAATGTAATTGCATTTTGTCGATACTAGTATTGGTAATTATATCAAATAATAAAAAAATTATATCAAATAAAAATTTTATTGATTGAATTAAGTGTGCAAGAAGAGTTGTGTGAAAATTTTGTTATTTATTTTTGAAAATTTCATCGAAAAATTTGAATGGTAAATAATCAATAATGCAACATCAAAATGCAATCAACAATGTATCGTGTAGAATGATACATTATTAATTGCCAATATTTTCTCGAAATTACTCATTCGATTATATTCGTACTCAAAAAAATCAACAGCCATTTTGACCGTCATGTTACACCTACTCATATTTCACTCATGATACTGTACATAATTTTTTTTTATCCATAGCATGCTTTTTGCTTAGCAGTTCAATAGCTTTAATTTCAACATCACTGTAGCTACTTCCTCGAGTGGTTGGCATCGATTGACGGCGCTTTTTCATTCTTGCCGGATGAAAATTCCCAATTTCACTCAATACACACCGAAATATCTCAGTTACCTACAATAATGTTACCTTTCAAAATAATTGATGGAAAAATTTAAAAAAAAAAAACAATTAATCCAATTTACTGGTGGAAAAAAATTCGTGTGCTAAAAACAGCAGTAATCAATACAATTTGCAATATTTTCAATTTTTAGTAAATTTTTGTCATTGGATGAGAGTTGTTACCTGAGGAAGATTAATAGCAGAAAGAGCAAAGAAATGAAGTTTATTGTCGAGCGCATAGCTTCTCGATTCTTTTGCTATCCATTGCTCCTCACATTCGTAGAGATCAATTTTATTGGCAACAAAAAATATCGGTGCTTTTTTGATATTTCGTGCTTGAACCTCTTTAACGATATCTTTGGCTTCATCCAACGATATCGGATCATCCACTGCAAATACAACCTAAAATGGGATTTAATTATATGCGATGAAGAGATAAAACTGATTGCATTAGCGTTAATTAATTAATAAAAATCTTTTTCCAAATATAATTAGTTTCAAAATTGGCTTATATCATATTTAGCAAGCTAATCAACTGAATGAATGAGGAACGTACAACAAAAGCGTCACCAATTTTTGCATACAAATGTCTCATAGCCAGAAAATCGCGGGAGCCACTAGAATCGACTACCTAAAACGAAATCCTCTTTTATCAGTCGATCAAAAATGAATAAAAATTTGAATTTTTTTCTAAATTTGTCTATTTTAATAAAAGATTTATACCTGTAGAAGTGTCTTACCACCATCATCATTTTTATATTCGATCCAATTGAATTCTTCCACTGTTGGTCGGTACTGTTTGATAAATTCTTCCCACAAAAACTGACCCACAAGGGCACTTTTACCAACCTTCAAAGCTTTTTGCTCACATTATGTTTAAATTCTAAAGCATCTCATTAATTTTTACGCAAGATTAAACAGCAAATGAATGAATTATAAATAAATAAATTAATTATAATTAAGTATATATGCCTTAGGAGCTCCTAAGACGAAAAGTGTATATTGGAATGTTGTGTCAGCAGAAGAATGCCGTTCACGGCTTGAACCAAACTTCAATCGCATCCGCATTGCGTGTAACGTTCAAATTTCTTCAGCTAATATCCTGAAATAATTGTTAGAAAATTTTGGTGAGAAATTGAGGAACGTTTACAAAAATGATTCGTTTGAAGTTCAACAATTTTACGTCGATTATTTTTGACCATAATAAATTGCTTTAGAGATTACTCAAATCTAATTTTTTGAAATTAGAAATTTGAATCCAAATAAAAAAAAAGCACAACGTGAAATCAGTACAGTTTTGCATTATTTATTCATCCATGCACATATTTTTGTCATGCACACATACAGAAATAACCTTGGATTGGTACATAAAATTCATAAAATTCGAATTTTTTTTACAGTTTAACAAAGCGCAATAAAACATGCTTTAATGGGACTATCATGATAGGAATTCTTTCCAGTGATTGAGCTGTTACTCTAGTGACAGCTATAATGTCACCAGTAACGTCAAGCATTTGCACTATTTAATTAGTGGTTAGAGAAGCGTTAAAGCTTAACATACAAACCAATCACATTTGCGTGACTATTTTGCCGTGACAAATAATAGCTTTATGACAAATATCTCACATAATAGAATTATGAATAGAACTAATATTACCAATTGTGAATGAGAAAATATTAATTTCATTATAAAAACATCGACAAAATAAGCGTAAATAATACCAAATTTTATAGAGTGATTAATTTCTTACTTTCATTACATGGAGAATTACAATTAT